GTGACGAACGCCTTAGAATTGAGCTAATGAATGTGAGGGCCACCTCGGTGCCAGAATTGATATCCGTTGCGTCATCCATTCGTGTTAAGCGTCCCATTGCATCGCATAATAATTCAAATCTACCGCCCCAAAAACGCTTTAAATATTCTCTTGATAACAGAAATTCTTCTTGTAGTTTTTGCAGAAAGATCGGTCATACTTCTGATAATTGCCGTAATAAAAGTAATTCTAATGGCCTGTCTTTCGATAAAAATCGGCCGCCGCCATTAGCTACAACTAGTGATAGTAAATTTTGTTCGTTTTGTTCAAAGCCTGGCCACACATTCGAAACGTGTTTTCGCCGCGAAAAACAAATAACTTCTAATGTAAATTCAGTGAATGATAATACCCGTAATTCTATCTTAAACACCATGCGTGTTCGAGTAGGTAATTTGCTTATAAATACTGTTTTTGATAGTGGCGCCGAGTGTTCCATTATGCGTGAATCTATTGCAAATAAATTGCCAGGGCATAAGAATCAAGTTGTGAACTATTTACGCGGAATAGGTCCATTCCCTGTTATATCTACCAGCACGTTAACGGCTATATGCGTGATAAATAATATTCATGTAGAGATCTTGTTTCACGTACTACCCGACTTTGAAATGACTTCAGACGTTTTAATTGGTGCAAACTTACTACATGAAACTGGTCTAAGTGTAATCGTTACCCGAAATAGTGCTACGCTAATATCTCAACCTCGTGTCATGCATATACGATCTCATAGTCCTATTTTTGAAAATTTAAATCATGATTTAACTGATGAGTTTGAGATAAATCAACTACTCGCTCTTCTTAATAAGTACTCTTTAGTCTTTACTCAAGGTTACGCTAAATCTCGCGTTAACACTGGTGAATTAGAAATCCGTCTTAAAAACCCCGATAAATATGTAGAACGTAGACCCTATAGATTAAGTCCCGTTGAGCGCCAGAAAGTTAAAGATATAGTTTCTGAATTGATTACACATAAAATAATCAGAGAAAGTAAATCCCCTTATTCTAGCCCTATTATTCTGGTCAAGAAGAAAAACGGAGACGATAGAATGTGCGTCGACTATCGCGAACTAAATGCCAATACGGTACGCGATCATTATCCTCTTCCATTGATCGCGGACCAGATCGATCAGTTGGCTGGTGGTCATTACTTCACAACTCTTGATATGGCCTCTGGATTTCATCAGATACCCATTTCTCCTAATTCAGTGGAAAAGACTGCTTTCGTGACACCTGATGGTCTTTATGAATACCTGACCATGCCGTTTGGCCTTTGTAATGCACCATCAGTGTACCAAAGATGTATAAACCGTGCGCTAGGACCGCTCTTAAATCCAGGCAGTTCCGACAATGGTCATAACGATAGCGTCGCACAAGTATATATTGATGATGTCATTAGTAAATGCCGCAATTACTCTTGTGGTCTCTCGTTTTTGGAAAGAATCCTAATCGCATTACGTGATTCTGGATTCTCTATCAACATAGAAAAATGTCTCTTCTTCAAACGGTCTATTGAGTATCTTGGCAACATCATAGAAAATGGTGAAGTCCGTCCAAGCCCTAAAAAGATTGATGCCTTAATAAAAGCTCCCGTCCCAACTACCGTAAAACAAGTTCGCCAGTTTAACGGCCTCGCTGGCTATTTTCGCCGCTTCATTCCTGATTTTGCTAGAGTTATGGTCCCTCTGTATAACCTTACCAAACAAGGTGTTAAATGGGAATGGACTAACGTTCACGAAGAGGTACGTCAGAAGATCATCCACCACCTTACTTCTTCACCAGTCCTCACAATATTTCGAGAAGGTGAACCTATAGAATTATTTACCGATGCTAGTAGCCTCGGCTTTGGGGCAATACTAATTCAGATCATTAACGGTCGACAACATGCCGTAGCCTACTTTAGTATGCGTACCACGGACGCTGAGAGTAGGTACCATTCATATGAACTAGAGACGCTGGCAGTAGTTCGCGCCATTAAACACTTCCGGCATTTTCTGTACGGACGTAAATTTAAAGTGATCACGGACTGCAATGCACTAAGAGCTTCAAAGCACAAACAAGACCTTCTCCCTCGCATACACCGGTGGTGGTCCTATCTCCAAAATTTTGAATTTGACATAGAATACAGAAAAGGTGAACGAATGCAACATGCTGATTTCCTTAGCAGAAATCCGCTCTCGCTGAATGTTAATGTTATGACAAGAAACTTGGAATGGCTTAACGTAGAACAGCGACGAGATGCCCAGCTCCGTCCTGTCATAGACTCTTTACACAACGGTGATATCGTTCCAGGATATTTGCTTGAAAGTAACGTTCTTAAGCGTGAAAGATCAGATCCGATTTTAGGTGTACAAAAATTGACCGTAGTACCAAAGTCCTTTCAGTGGAGTCTAATAAACACATACCACACTGCCCTCAAGCACCCAGGATGGGAGAAAACTCTTCATAAAATTAGAGAGACTTACTACTTTGAGAATATGACTACAATCATCCGAGATTTTGTAAATAACTGTGTTATCTGCAGAACATCGAAGCAAACATCTGGAGCAACGCAAGTACAAATGCATCCAATTTCAAAGCCTACTATGCCATTTGAAGTTATACATATGGATGCTACAGGAAAGCTTGGCACACCTAATGATCAGGAATATGTCATTGTGACCATAGATGCGTTCTCAAAGTATGTATTACTGCGCTATTGCAATGACAAAAGCCCACATAGCACACTTGGAGCATTAAAGCAAGTTATACATCTTTTTGGAACACCTAGGCAAATTATTGTGGATGGTGGGCGTGAATATTTAGGTGAATATAAAAATTATTGCGACAGATTTGGTATCAATATACACACTATTGCACCAGGCGTCAGCAGAGCAAACGGACAGGTAGAAAGGGTCATGTCAACTCTAAAGAACGCACTCATTATGATTAAGAATTACGAGACCCCAGAATGGCATACAGCGCTGGAGAGCCTACAACTGGCATTCAACTGTACCTTACATAGAACGACAGGTACTACTCCTCTTACACTTCTCACCCGACGATCAAACTGTGTACCCCCCGAGCTACTTAATTTGGTCAATTTTGATACCACATCCATCGATTACGATGCATTGCAATGTCATGTGCAACAAAGGATGACCGAGGCGTCAGCAAAAGACAAACTCAGGTTTGATAAAGGACGGGCTAAGGTACATAACTTCCAACGGGGAGACTTCGTTTTAATAAAAAATAATCCCAGAAACCAGACTTCGTTGGACCTCAAGTTTAGCGTGCCCTATGAAATTCATCGAGTGCTCGATAACGACAGATACCTCGTGAAGAAAGTTGTCAGTCACCATGGTCGGCCCCGTAAAGTCGCGCATGACCAGTTACGACGTGCCCCACAACCGGGTGCAGTCGTAAACCCCCAGGCGGCCGTGTCGCCCACAGACAGAGACGAGCATCAAGGAGCATCCGGCATTGTTAATACGCTGGAGACAGCACCATCACCAACCCAATCTGCGTCAAAACTAGTTAGTGCTAGTACAGACAAGAACCACTCAATAGTCGATTAAAGGAACACAGGAAGCTATGGATTCCATCCTGGTGAGAACCTTTCATGTTATATTCTTACTTAACAATCACACATACATTATTACGTAACATATTTAAAAAAAAAAAAAAAAAGATGTTATTGACGTGTTGAGTCGTACAATAACCAAATACAATGTTAAATATGTTATTGGCGTGTGGAGCCGACCAATAACCAAATTTATTTTATAACTGTTTCATGTGGAATGAGCAGTTACATAATAACCAAATGTATTATAATAATAAAAGATGTTATTGGCGTGTAGAGGCGACCAATGACCTAATTTATTTTATAGCTGTTGTCATGTGGAATGAGCAGTTACAATATTAACCTAACTACACATATCTCGTACAGGCTGTGCCCGCGTAGTGAACAGCTTAAACTTTGTGCTTAGGTTTACTACTGAAGTACCTAGCCTCAAAAATATTTCTATAATTTATTTCAGAAACAACTACACAAGAAAGATTAAGCGCTGCAGGGCACGCATCGCATATCAGAATGGCCGTGTCGCCGCACGCGCTTCCGTCTTCAAATGAAATCTTAATTAATGATTTAATGCATTGTTACCTAGTAATATTTGTAATTTAATTATTCCACGTAAAATAAATACTAGTGAAATAGTTATTACATTATTTTAAAAGCTCAATTATAAATATTTTAAATGTAGTTGTTTTGACTATCCTGTAATCATTATTGCATTCGAGTTTCAACTGAGTAATAATTGTTTAATAATTAGCAATCATTGTGTTCTAATCTTAAGAAATTCTGTCTTTAATTATTAGTAACTACAGGCTTACTATGAGTTCAGACAATAAACTCTTTATACTTAGATTTAGATTAAAAGTAGTTAAACTGATTTAAACCTGAACGCCATTGGCCCGCGCATCTTTACGACCGCGCGGAAGTGATGGCGTTGTGCACCTTTACCGAAAAATAATTGGAACGGGCATTCTTTGGTCCGCGCTTGAGGTGTTAAGGTCGAAAGCAAATACTGTAAGTAATTTATGCTTTGAATAAGTAAATCGTGTTATTATTTCTGTTTATTATTGATTACTGTGAACTTTATTATATTTCTGTGTAACAAACTGTTCTAATTAGAAATAATAAGTGAATTGCTGTTTTATTGTGGTGTGATAGTGATTTGTCATGAATAAACTCAATAGCAGAACCGATGACTCCGATGGAGTTCATGGTTCTGCTCATTTTAATATTCGTAATGGACGTCAAAATTCGACATATACATACGTAATTTTAGGATTAAATTAAAGGCACATTAAGTTATATAAACAAATTAGAAAATCGTACATAACATTGTGCATAAATAAGTACAATTTGACGAGAAACAGAGCAATATTTATAGTTCATTAAATAAAGCAAATTAAACCACATGAATCATATTTAAGTGCTTAATATTTTACTTTTCAAGTTACTTTTTTGGCCTGGCCATTTTTTTTACAAAATTATTTTAATTGTATTAATAAGAAAGTTATTTGTTTAACATAAAATAAAGGTTTTCAAATAGTTCTCTACAGTTTTAAAATAGATTGGTCATTAAGCAAGTCTTTGTGAGGATTGTTCACCTACAAGTTACAACCTTTTTTTAAAATTTTAACATCTCTTCTTTTATTTCATTTTCTTCACCACGTAACCTGAAAAGAAATAAATAAAAATAAAGTCCAATATTCATATTTTATGACTGAATGATAATCATAAATCATATATTATTCATATTAAGGTAAAATAGGGCTTCATGGCAGTTGGCATTTTCTTTCGGTCAGCCATGGTGTGGTGAAAATAAAGTGATAGATGCAGTAAATAAGAAATAAAAAATATATAAATATTAACATTGTATACATCCATTATCAGGAGCTTTCTCAATGTCTTCAGGCACAGAGTTCCAAATTAGTGTAACCTTAATACTAAAGGAGTTGTTGATAAAACCATTGAAGTGTAGTGGAACTGTAATCTTTAGATTAGATGAAGAATAAATAATTCTTATTGTGATTTGAGGATAGATATGCTGAATATAGATATAATAGATATGTTGAAATTTTGCCTAATTATGTATAAGAATAAACTGAATTTATCATACCATTTTGCCAATGTGTACATTTTGTATCTTCTGGCAACATTTGTCTCACCACATCAGCTTTTCACATCAGATTTCTATTCCTGAAAACAAACAATATTTGTGAATTTTATGCTCTTATACATAAACCCAAAATTAAAGAATAAATATATAATGTATACATCTATATTGTATGTATTAACTCTGTATGGCTACTGTTAACGACTGTTTAGTATAATCGTAATTAAAAAGTAATCTATATTATCATATAACTAAGTTATATGGTAACATAAATTACTTTTAAAAAGAACATTTATCTCCTTGGTGTTGGTACTTTCACTTGGAGGTTGTTCCATGATAAGCATCTGAAAAATAAACAAATATCGACATCAACATTAAAAATAACAAGTATGCTCAAGATGCTAATAGCGTAATATAGCATAAAATCGACTCCGCGCTATAGAAGCATATTCTAGGTTGCTACAGACCAGAGATTTTTAGGGAGTAACTTTATTTATTTATTTATTTATTTCTACCTCTGTCTTTACAGGCGTACCTAATACGACAGTGGAGGCATATAAAACATCTAATTTAATAAGGACATTTTTCATCAATATCACCCTTCAATATTTTATTGTTTATGTTGCACCAATTGTGTCCATGTAATCTAATTAAAATATTGGTGAAAAAGTTTTTTACAATTAAGGCATGCTTATCACACCCTAGGCAGGAAAAACTCAAAGTGCTCAATATTTTTCTTTTCAAATTACTTTTTATATTACTTCCAATACAGCTATAATTCAAATAGTTATGAATAAAGTGAGTACCATCCCTGTACAAGATAAGGAATTTTTCACAATATTTCAGTTTTCTCTCTCCAGCTATATCTACAAACCCATTAATTATATCATCTTTTTCATTAAAAGTTAAATGTGGTGTTAGAGAGACTTCGTCAAAAACGATTGTACATAGCTTTTGTTTAGTGTCCCATTTTTTGGTTGTATTTGATATATGTTCAAATATTAGTGGATTGAGTCCTGGTTGTATTGAAACCTTCTCAGAAAGTCTATTTAATGTCCGTTTACTAGGCAAGGCAAACATTTTTTCTAATAGTTTATAACTTTTGGGGCTTTGTTTCATTATGAGCAACGCCATTAATTTTTCATCTAAGGTAAACCTTCTGGCCATTTTGCTTTTATGAATTTGTTTTAATTGCATAAACAAGAAAGTCTGTGCTTGTTTGTTTAACAAATAAAAGTTTTCCAAAAGGTCTTTATTTCTTGATAGGGATTGGGCTTGATCAAGTCTTTGTGATACTGAGTCACTTAAAGTTTCAGTTGCAATATTAGTCAAAATTTTAACCAATTTTCTTTTCCTTGATACTATTTTCTTCACCGAACCTGAAGTGAAATAAATAAAATAATTAAGTTTTATATTCATATTTTATGACTGAATGATACACTTAAAAATATTAATTTATTATTTATATATTGTTATTTTAAACTTTTAATGTATTCACTTTGAAAAGATAACAAATAGTGTGGATGTCATCAGGGGAAGACTTCCAGAGAAATGTAACCTTAACAGTAAAGGAGTTGTTGATAAAACCATTGAAGTGTAGTGGAACTGTAATCTTGGGATTAGATGAAGAACAAAGAACTCTTATTGTGATTTGAGGTAGATATTGAAACTTTTTCTAATTATGTCTAAGAATAAACTTAATTTATAATACCTTTTTGCTTTTTTGTACATGTGCTACCTTTTGGCAACATTTGATTCACCACATTAACATTAGAATCAATTCCTGAAAAGAAGCAATAGTTATGAATGTTATGGTCTTAAACATAAACTCAATATTAAATAACAAATAGAATAGAATAGAATAGAATGATTTTTATTCAATATGGATTATTACATAATACTTATTGAAAGTCATTATTTTATTTACCACTGGTTCGGAAAATACCTCTGTCCTGGGAAGAACCAGCAAGAAACCCAGCGGGACTTTTTTTTTAAACATAATTTCACTTAACAATAATTTTGTTTATACAATTTTAAATGAATTTTCATAGAACCAGCATGGTGGCGATCACCTTATTCCCAGGGGTTATTTTCATTCATGTATTCCTTGATATTATAATAACCCTTCTTGTACAGTTTTTCTTTAATAAAACTTTTAAACTTGTTTATTGACAAACTTTGAACATGTTCTGGGATTCTGTTGTAAAAGCGTATACATTGCCCCATAAATGAATTACTAATTCTGTGGAGTCTTGTAAGTGGCATTACAAGCTTATGTTTTTGTTTTTTTAAATTTACAATGTATGCTTCTCTGTATTGTATGTCTACATTAAATCTAGCTACTGTTAATAAAAGTTAGTTTAGTATAAGCAGACAAACCTACGAGTTCTTCGAGAACATCTATCTCCATGCCTTTGGTACTTGCACTTGGAGGTTGCTCCAGGAATGTATCTGAAAAATAAACAAATATAATTGTTAGATACGATTTCATGCGACAAAACGTTGAAATCTTGATTTTTAGGCGCTAGTAGAACATACCTACGTGCTTTGCACTTAAGGCATGCAATATTATCCTAGTGTCTAGTATCAAATACACATAACTATCCTCTAGAACTGATGCAGTTCTAGGTATGCAGTGACACCTTCAGTCCACAGCCTGTTTATAAGCATTTAAAGTATTTTTTCTATTACCCGACATATAAGTACTTCTTTTGATTTGATCCCTACATAAATGTATAAAAAATTATGTCCAATACAATTTCACATACCTTTATTTTCTACAACTGTTGCAACAGTTGAAAAATTTGAACATGAAGGCTGTTCATGAGAATTTCCAACATCTGAAATTTGTTACAATTTTGCATTTTTATAGATGTCAGTATGATAAGGCAAACACATTATTAGAAAATGAACGGTTAGTAAATTTATGAAATAGTTAGAAAGCTTTTTTTGCTACTTAGCAACTAGTACTACATGAATATTAGTACACACCTGATGATCCAATCTCTACCGATGATTTGGAACAATCATTTTGCTCTTTGCAGTAATTGTGTTCAATCGTAACATCACTTCCTGAAAACATTATTCAAAATGTTGAAAAATTTGCCAATGACTGAAATTTAAATACATCAAATCACAGTGTTCATCATAATATGTTTACTATAATTTACAATTAACATCAATTAAGATATTTGTACATACCAGGCTTTCTAATCACTACCACAGCTTCTGTGAAATCATCGTCATCTTGCACTTTACAATAATTATGTTCAGTTGTGACATCCCATCCTGAAAACATTACATAATCATAGCAAATAACGATGCAGAGTCAATAACATTTGTACCTAACTAATCATAAAGTCAAAGAGTAAAAAGAGAGTCCTTAGTTAGCCAACCTACAAAATGCTTATTCTGGAAAAAAATTACCCACATGCAATGTTTGGAAATTTGTAATAAATTGCTGCTTTTTCGATATTGTGATATTTTTACAGAATAGAATGATTTTTATTCAACATTGTTTATTACATAATATCTATAATATAATAATCGATTCTCGATTAAATTGAGCATTTTAATATCTATTTTTGATTATTTTTCTGTGTTAACTAGGAAGATAAAAAATAATTGCATACAGCTGAGAACAAATTATCGGACGCGTCCGTCAGCCGCGGCTGACAGACGCGGCTTATTTGAATCTAGCCAGTACATTTAATACTACACTGTGCAAACTATCGGTCGTAAGACGCGGACGTGCCCTTGGGTCGTCCTTGAGCGTTCAGACGTCCGAACAGAATCTAGTCGGCTGGATACAGTGTTGCCAACTGCACCGTAATTACGGTAAAAACACCGTAATCAGCATAGATCTACCACCTACCGTAGGATTATAATTACGGTAGCAAAATACACCGTAATACCCAATGAAGATCGTATCTAAATATGATTATCTATAAACTAAAATAATTTTAGCGAGTTTGATTGTTTACTTTCTTTACGTTACAGTATTTTCCTTTTATTCTACCGACAACACTGTTTTATGCGTCGGGAAATCCCCCAATAGCGTGGTACCAGCTTGGAGATATTATGCGAACGAATTCGGGGGTGCTGTATGTATTTGAATTTCAATGAATACTTAGAGCTTTTTAATTTTCCTAGTTTATTTGTATCATAAACGAGATACGACTAACATTTCATTAATACTTAAAATTACGTAAGAGTTTGTTGTGTTGTGTTGTGTTGTGTGTGATCTGAGTGTTTAAAAATATGGAGAGTGATGGCGACAGCGCTACTGATCGAGAAGATAGCTTAACACGAGTACCGGCTAAGAGAAAGCGTTATAAGCAGAAGTTTCGGGAAGAATGGTTGCTGAATAAAGAATATAGTGACTGGCTAAGAAAGGATAATAGGGACTTATCGAAGGCGGTCTGCAATGTTTGCAATACATCTTTCAGTGCCGAAATAAGTGTAATAAAACGCCACAAAGAAGGAACTAAACACGTGAATAATTTAAAGAGGTGTAGTGCTTCAACGTCCAAAAAACAACAGTCTATAGTAAGCGTTTTTAAATCCATGCCAACTAATGAAAAGCAATTGGTAAAGACTTCAGAAATAAAATTAGCTGCTTTTGTTGCTGAGCATAAGGTATCTCATAATGTCATGAATCACTTAGCAGATTTGTTACCAAAGTTGTTCCCAGATTCTCAGATAGCCAAAGATATTAGATTAAAAAGAACTAAAGTTCAAGCTGTGATAAATAACTGTATTGGGGAAACTGAAAAAGAAAACTTGATCAGTGACTTGAAATCACAAATGTTTTCAATTTTGATAGACGAAAGCACAGATATTGCTGTAGTAAAAACAGTAGCTGTAGTGGTCAGGTATTTTGATCCAATGATTGGTAAAGTTATCACTCGGTTTTGGAATTTGATTCAATTATTTGATGAGAAAACCACCGATCATGTTGCAAATGCCGAAAAACTTTTTAATACTGTTATAGGTTCATTTCAAAAGTATGAGATTCCTACGGAAAACATCATAGGTTTCGGCTCTGATGGATGCAACACAATGATGGGATGTAACAATTCAGTTTCAAGTCGATTTCGTCAACGTTGTCCAGGCATAATTGTGATCAAATGCATTTGCCATTCTCTGCATCTTTGCGCTAGTGACGCATGTAAAGAGCTTCCACTAAATTGTGAAAAAATGGCGCGAAATATTTATAATTATTTTAAATCCAGTAGTAAAAGGCAGAGTGAGTTGAAAGAGTTCCAGTATTTTGCTGAGGCGGATGTGCACAAAATTCTAAGACCAGCCCAGACTAGATGGTTGTCTTTAAATGCAGTAGTGCAAAGGATTCTGGAACAATGGGATGTATTACGTCTTTATTTCAATAGCAAATGGCTGGAAGAATCGGAGTGCCACGATATTCATGCATGCCTGAATGATCCCATAATCAAGGCTTATTACTATTTTTTGGCTTGGATGTTGCCAAAATTTACAACATTAAATAGCTGTTTTCAGAGCGAATCTATTTTAATTACGAAACTACATGGGAAAATGACAGCTTTTTATAAAGAACTGTTACTATAGGTTTTACACAGAAATTATGTAAATTCCGCTCCTATTGAAACTATAGATCCAATGACAGAAATAAATCACAAGGACCTAAAAGACATATATCTAGGTTTAGGTGTCCAGAAAGAACTAGATTCTGTTGAAAATGAAGAAAGAAAGTTAACTCTCAGAAAGATGTGTAAAAATTTTATTATTAGAGCTTGTGTGGGCCTTCGTAAACGATACTGTTTTAATGACAAAATTATGACAGAAATAGCAAAATTTGATCTAGAGAAAGTAATTTCTGATGACAGGGAAGAGTCAGTTTCGTCGTTATTTCCATTACTGCCCAGAATTGCCCCAACTTCAATCCAACATCAACAAGAACTAGATGATGAGTGGCGGAAGTTGCCGTTATACTACAAAGATTTGGATTTAAGTCAACCCCCTGACGTATTTTGGCACCAGGTAAGTTTCCATGTAAACTCGAAGCAACGTGAATTCATATTGGTTTCTATTGTTATAGCAGCCTAATCATTTTTTTTTCAGGTCGCAGAACTGCGTGACCAACATCGAGAAGGGAATACCTATTTCCAACACTTGCCAAAATTTATGTTGGCCATTTTGTCTCTGCCACACTCGAATGCTGAGTGCGAAAGAGTCTTCAGCAGAGTTAACGATATAAAAACAAAAAAACGGAATAAACTCCTAACGAAATCCATCAAGGGAAATCTCTTATCGCAGCAAGCCATACAGCGTCACGGAAAAAACTGTGTTGATTTTAATCCCACTCACGCTATGATCGCAAAACATAACAATGATATGTATAAAAATATTGAAACAATTATACTGTCCGATTCTGATTAAAAATATGTTTTTTTTTTAACTCTGACCCATAACATGCTACTAAATAAACAAGGTAATTCTACCGTATTTCAAATATATATTACAACATAATTTCGAAAATTCTACCGTATTTTTAGAAGAATTCTACCGTCCGCTAGATTTCAGACTTGGCAACACTGGCTGGATATTTGTGCGTCCTCGGACGGTGTGCACAGGCCACGGGACGCGTCCGCGGACGTTTCGAGCGTCACAAACGAACCGACCGCGCTCGCGACATGTCAGACGAAGAAAATTTAATTGAATGTGTTCGTGGCCACATAAATGCTACTTTAAAACAGGAAGTGTGGGAGCAAATTGCTGCTGAATTAAACATCATTTTCAATTAGACTAAGCAGAAAATTAAATTAGTTTTCATTAATTCTTAAGTACATTTTGTAACGTTTATCATCTTTTTGTAAGTCTGGATACAATGTATGAAATTCATCATACTCGAGTCGTTTTACATTAATATCATGGACCCAAACACTCCTTTTCACTTTTTTTTTGGAGGACAACTTAAGGCAGCTGCCGCTAGTATAAATTCGTCCTCGCTGTCGCTGCTTGTCGTGTTTCTCGATTGAAACCTTTATAGAATGACTGAAGTGAGGCGTCCGAAGACGCCGTCTTAACTACCGTGCACACCAACACTCTTATCTATGGTGCACACCGCTAAGCCGCGACTGTCAGCCGCGGCTGACGGACGCGTCCGATAATTTGTTCTCAGCTTACTTGTCTACAAAACAATACATAGACATAGTATCTTATAGACTAAACATTCAGTGACGTCATCAGCGTGTGAAAGGAATGCACGTATATAGTTAGACATAAGAGTAAGGGAGAAGCAAATCTATATTTCATGTCTTTTTCTAGCACAGATTACCCCCTAATAGATACCGCATCATTGAATATTTGTTCTGTTTCAAGTTCACCAAATTTGGCCCTATGCAAGGGTTGCGGGGGACGTGGCAAATGCGCTGTGATTGGATATTTAAAAGTCAAACTTAGAATGTACCAAACCATAGTGATGGAACAGGGTTGGGACGTTGATCGATAAATTTGAGATTTATTGAATATTGATAACGATAATGATAAATAAATATATTGATCAATTTTTAGTTGATGTTTATTAAAAAATTAAACAATGTATACATATATTTGTACATTTAATTTATATATATATACATACATAAACACTCACGCCTGTCACCCAGAGTGGTAGGCAGAGACTACGGACTTCCATTTGGCACGATCCTGACACACCTCTCTCGCATACACGCTCGTTATATGTATATATATATATTTGACTGATTTTTAAAATGGATAAGCTTAGTCTCACAGAATTCTTAGGATCTGTCTTCCTGGATAAGTAGAGTAATCTTACGAGTATGTCTATGTATTTTTCCATAACACTCTTAGCTAAATCAAGGACATGATTACACTTTCGTAATCGAACTGGTGATTTTTTTATTTCATGAAAAATATCCTCATTAACAAAACTGCTTAATGTTTGTGTTAAAAAACCTGGGCGACCATATGCAGATCTGTACAACTTTACTAGTGTTTTTACAGAGCGTAAAGAAGTATTAAATGTTTTGCGTACATAGTTATAAGCTTTAACTGAGTAATTTATGGTGAGTGCAACTGTGGTGAATATTTTTTTCTAACAATTTTGCCTGATTTTCTAGATTTTAATTTTTCTAAGGAACTTAATGCGTTATTTTTTTCGCTGTTAATGAATTTTTGTTTTCTAATTCTACCAATAATGACTTCAAAGAAACTATTTGTCTTTTTAGTCTTCTGTTGGAATCACTTTACTTTTTATCTTTTTTGTTCATTACGTTGGTTAATTCGAT